GACATCGAACTGGCGATCACAGGCACAGAGGCCCAACCCGCCGCGCCAGACACCAAACCGGGGATCACAGGTACAGAGGCACAACCTACTAAGCCAGACATCGAACTGGCGATCACAGGCACAGAGGCCCAACCCGCCGCGCCAGACACCAAACCGGGGATCACAGGTACAGAGGCACAACCTACTAAGCCAGACATCGAACTGGCGATCACAGGCACAGAGGCCAAACCCACCGAGCCAGACACCGAACCGGCGATCACAGGCACAAAGGTCTAACCCGGTGAACCACACACTGACCCCCCCAAAAGCTTATCTTACATTAAACTTAAACTAATCATTCTGAACAATGCTACGTGGTTGAGGTTTGATCTGCTATCTCTGCATGGCTTTGACTGTTGGTTGAAACATACTGGCCACAGTCATGATCATAATTCATATTCATAAGGAGCAGGCGTATTCGTAGGATAGCACTCCCCTGGAAAAGCCCCCTTCATTCTCAAGCCAATGTAATGAGGCGAACAGCCTTGCTTGTTTTCCTCAAGCCTTGCTTATTAATACGGCACACACAGTGCTGAGGAGTTCCTGCAATTACATTTCTAGTATTTGTTAGCTAAACTGTGTTGGCTACCCTCCTGTATATGAACATGATTGTTTACCAAAGCTCCATAGATCCTAAAATGCATCTGGTTAACACAGTATGTAATGAAATATAAAAATGCCCGCGTATGTCTGCTTTACCATTCCTCCTTCTGATTCTTTTATATTCGTCAATATTTATGAATTTCAAGTGGACAGTTCCATGCCAGGCTCATTTGAGAAGACGCTTCAAAGTAAAACTCAAGTCAGTCCATGAGGAAGGTCAAAGGTCATGCCAAAGACATGACGTATCCCCAAAGTCTGTTATGTGGCAGCTGTCACAATGACCAAGAAAGGACAAAACTCAGACTCTGAGGCTACCTGTCTTCCATATGGTTTGTCTGTATGCTGAAAACACAGAAATGTTTCGATAAAGGGGTTTTAGGAAACGATATTAATGATGAACATTTACTTCTTCAAACAAGGACAAAGTGTCTTTGGGGAGGCATGCAGAAGCAGAGAGACAGAGAGAAGGAGGGGAGATGCTGTATGAAGGACACATTGGTCGCCCAACACCAAAACTCACTTCTCAAATTCTTAATTCCATACTTAATATCATTAAGATTTTATATGTTATTATCTAGTTTACTTTTCAAATTTGATTCTCCAATCATTAATTTTTGACATATCTAATAGCAACACTTTGTGTTTATATTTAATTGTCCCTTGCATGTTTAATTATAGACCCCGGAGGAGATTATTCCTGGGGAAAAATGTCTGTGTTTAAGGGAATAATAAAACACAGGAAAGCGAGGGCATCACAGCGCCATCATGCAGCAGGAGACACAGCGAGACGCACTATCATCCACAGGAGGACTTACCCCGCGTTTCAGGCTCCGGAAGCAGTGCATTTTGGGCTTGGAGGCCATGAAGTCGTTGAGGCGGAGTGTAAGGGCCTCCTTGTGCTGCTTGGGAGACTGGGGGCCATTGGGAACAGCAGAGGGCGACGGTAAGGCGGAGGCAGAGGCAGAGGCGGGGGGAGGGGGGGGGGGGGGGGGGGGGGGGGGGCGGGGAGAGGCTAGCAGGGATATAAGCTATCGGTAAGAGAAATGGAGCAGCAAACAAAATAAATGAAAAGAAAAGAAAAAACAACACACAAAACGAGATAAATAAGGTTCTAAAAACTACACATGGGATAGCAAACATCATCACACCCAGTCTGTGATTTTCTGAGGGTTATTTACATAGTTAAGCTAAGATCAGCAAAAAGGTAGCTAGAGAAAAACACCTTAAAAAGCATGTAGTGTTAAATGTTACGTTAAAGCATTAAGCATGTTAAAGGTGAGTGACAGCAGAGTAAATAAGAACAAGCCCATGCAAGCCGCCATCTGTCTGTTCGTCTCATACAGTACAAGTTCCCTCACTAGACACTCAGCATGTGCAGAAAAAGACACTTAAATTCAACCCCAGATCTTCACTCACATTCATCGCTTTTTTCCCATCCTGAAGAGCTTGTAAACATTTACTGACATACAGCAAAATTAGTGATGAAAAGTTACCTTCAAACCTACCACTTGCAGTAATAACCAATAGATACATGTGGATAGTTCAGGTCTAGAAAGTAAACGTCGAGACCAAGGTTTTGATTTAACAAACTAGTTGAGTACTCTGCGATTGTCACTCTTTACGCTCAGCTGGTTGGTTCGAACAAAATCTTGGTCTGGATTTGTACTATCTGGACCTGAACCATCCATCTTTGAGTATTCAAAAAAACAAACTGCTCTTTGTTACCAAACATACCTGTGTACACCAACGAATATACAGAATGGATTAATTAACACTAAGCACTTTCCACAGAAGGGTGTACTGTTCATAATTATACCCACAAAGTATACTTCCAGATAAGGTCAAAGCAAATATCAGATTCTCATTTCTAATTTCAAAATAAAATTTTACTGGTCCCTGCTGAGCTTTGTGAAAGACATTCATCACAAACCTTTTTGTACTGGAAAGCTGCTAGTTTCACATAATTCTGTTCTGTTTATTTAAATTTCTTTTGAAACCTTTCCACAAAACGACAATTACTTTAAAATGCTCACATCATCTTATGTAAAATCCTTTAAATTTTTCTCTCCAAAGGTATGCTTTATAGCAATCTTCCCTTTGGACTTAAATGAAAAAAAACAACATTTAACAGTATGTACATGAAGATATCTAATGGGATCACATTCAATGGGTTTGCATTATTGCTGCTGTTTGTAAATGAATTTCCCCCGAGACCAATAAATTATGTTATCTGAAAACGATAACATTGTGTTTTACCAAGCATAAGTTTAGCAAGTAATCGAAAAAATATCACAGGGTTACCCTTGGTCTGGAAACATTCAGGGATACCCTTCTATAGCCCCAGCAATCAACAGCATGCAATTCTACTGCAACAAGGGATTATGGGAAGCCATTCCAGGTAGGTAGCAAAGAGGAGGTATCTAGTTATTTAAAAAAGGATTTGGGGCACAGCAGATGGGTTTTGCATTGGGGGTTCGCAGAGAGTCTCCAGGTTATTCTCAGTGTTAATGTATAGGAATCGCACTTTCGCAAGTTTCAAAGATGCCATTAGTGTGTTAGCGTTGGTGGATCCACATACAGGGAGATGACCAATGGCATGTGGAGAAAGAAGACAGTGACAAATGGAAACACCATATTCATGATAAAATGGTACTACTAATGAAAATACAACTATACCAGCAAACCATTAATGAACACAAACAAAACATGTAAGTGACAAGAACAGCAACAAAAGAAACATATCAACACCAAAAGCGACAAGAACGAAAAATACAACTGATAGCTATAATAAGGCATGATCATAAAAATAAAATAAAATAAACCACCAGGACTGACACGTTAAACGTGCCTTGTAGCACCAGATCTTTATACAATGAAATCCTTATGTTAATCTTAAATAAGTACACCATATGACAATGAAAGTAAAATGCTACGATAAAGCCACAAATCACGTGTAAACTAGCTCCTGCCTGCCAGAGTTGTCTGGGTGTGATTGCGTGTGCTCTTGTTTGTGTGCTGAGCACCATTCATGTGTGGAGGCCTCAGGTATCCCCAAGCCGACTTTACCTTACTCTTCTTCATAAAAGGCCACAGTTTGCCTTTGCTCTTGCCAGTGGGCTTATCGGGCTTGCTCTCTGCCCGTGAGTTTGACAGGCTGCACTCTGATGCTGTCCTCTTCATCGCCTGGCTGTAGTCCTCAAACTCCACGTCCCCAGGGGGTTCAAACCCAGATTTATACGATTCTACAACCTGCGACGAGTCCTGCGTGGAGGGTGGTGAGAGACAGTCAAATTATGACCACAGTGCCTCAACACAGTTTGATTATCAATTACGGATTAACACCATTTGCCAAATGCATGCTAAAGTAAACTACTGAGGCTTGGTAGATACTGTTTAGCATAATATTTAGCTTTCTTAAGATCGAGTACTAATCCCAGTTATAAATATGGAGCATGAAACCATCAACCATGGCTGATAATGAAGACCATGACATGAAAATGAAGTAAAAAGGAAAACTTAATCGTTATTAGAGTTAGTAAAAGAAATCGCTGCACTGTCCTGATTGTAAGGCGACCGCAAATATAAGACGACCCCAAATATAAGACGACCCCAAATATAAGACGACCCCAAATATAAGACGACCCCAATTATAAGTCAACCCCCCAGATTTTGCCAATTATTTTAAGAAAAGAAGTTTTTGGAATACCAAACATTACCTTTATGAAGAAAAATAATTTTATTTGACAAGAAAGTATAATAAGTTACACAGCAACCACAGGCAACTGGATTACAATAAATGTATTAAACAGCAAACATTTCCAAAAACAAAATATCTTTAAAAAGACACAAAATATCGTATTTGGCACCTATCTATTCCCTTAATTGTCCCGACCCAGAATATAAGACTTTTTCAAACGTATTTTGAGGAAAAACTATATTCGGATCAACACAGTAGAAAGTCCTGTCACATGAACTCCAGTGTTATGTGAATGTTGAACGAGCGCCTTCACTAAGGCTCTACTCACATGTTTTGGTTCAATGGATTCTGCTCCCTTAGTCATGCCATCTAGACATTTTCCCACAATTGGCAGAACTTGCCGGTCGACCTCAGCGAAGGTCTTCATGGACTCTCCCACTCTCTCAATCCGCCTCTCCTCCATCTCCTGGATTTTCTGTAAGTAACAAAGGGGAGACACTGGAATTGTTGAAAATTCTCAGACATATTCTTCTAAAAGGAAATGTTAAATAGCCCCCAGCTCCTAAGTGGCTTAGCCAATGAAATGCCCCCCCCCAGTGTCAACATTAAGGCCGGCAGCGGGGGAGCTTTATTATGGTGCCCAGGCCCCGTCACCTGCCAAGACCAGCTGAGATTTCCGAAGGAGTGGGACGTAACTGACGAACGGGAGACTCAGAGTGTGACAAATACCTATTGGCAGAAGCTACTGCGTAGCACAGAAGAGCACAGTCTGTGCTCTCAGTAATACTGGAACCATAGAGGGGGTCGGAGTCCAAATATGAAACTGACGACTAAACCAGGATACTGGGAAGAGGAATGAGGTAGGATATACATTTTTTATATTTATTGTTGAGTACTGAATGTTTATAATAGTTTGCATTCTTGGTTACACCAGCACAAAAATGGAGTATTCAATATCTCAGTGGCTGTCCTTCTTAAAGGTCAGCAAAAGAAAATGATTTTGGGGTCTTACCTGGAAGATGTGTGGGATCAGGGTGTGGTAATGGTCATTCTGCTCCTGGTTGAACTTTTGCAAATATGATGCGTACTCAGTCTTGCTATCCGCTGCAATTTGATGCCTCATCTGGGCTTGTTGCCGGGCCTGGAGAACAGAGCCGTGAAGAGGAGAGGGTTTTCACACACAGACCCCACTAATATAAACCAACACCGCCGACAATGACACTTAAATACATGGAACCACAGCAGTGACAGGTGATGGAAACCTGTTCCTGCTTAATCGCACACAGATATTCCTGGTTGACAGCATGTGAAATGAAAGCCCAAAAGGCAGTGAACGCAATGGGGTCATGATGTTTGGAGGCAATTACCTAAAGGATGTTTTAGATATGGTGAACCTTTTATGAAATTAATATTTATTTACAGGATAAAATAGCAACAAAGACACATATGAAGTAATCTAGAAAAAAACCGCTGGATTTCAGTAAAATTCTTACATCCATGACCCTTAATCAGGAAGAACTGACAAAGTGAACCATCTCCATGCATCTGCTGTGGAAAAGATGACACATCTCCAGCAGCAGCACCAGAGTACCAGTGCAACAGCAGACCATGTGTCTGGGGTGACTCCCTGAAAATGTCCCTTAGGGATCCCCAACTGTCACCTCTGGCTGAGGACATCTTACATAATGTGTGTAACCTGAGAATGGAAGTGAATGAACTGGCTGCTCCTTACCCACTAGCTTCCAGAACATTCTAATCGTAGCTGTCATAAAAGGAAAGCTTAAAACAAACTTCTGACAGAATGTGACTCCTCAGCTGCCCAAAAGCAAATGGTTACTGGCCAATTTCCAGTATAATTTATACTGTGTAACATATGACAGACACATAGACATGCACAGCATACATAAACATTAATATATGTTATGTTCTTCCTCAAATAAACATTTTCATTTTTACAAAATTCATTCATTTCACTCTTCTACCCGGGAGAGAAGTAACTGTGTCAGAAAGACAGAAAGGTTAAAATAAGCAGACATCATATTTCTGGTGAAGGGAAATCAGCAGGATGCTATTCACTCCTTATCAAATGGTAAAATTTAAGAGGAAGTGTAACTGAAACAGGTGTCTTCTCTTTTTCTGCAGAGCAAACAGCAATTTGGAGACTTTACTCACAGAACCAAAGTAACCTGCAAAGTACTAAAATGTGCCAAATGATTACAGCTGCACGTTTCCTCTGATGAAACCCCAAAAGCTCCCACTGATACAGTACAGACTGGGCCGGATTCCCAATCCGGTCTATTTCATAGCAATACACTCACAAATATGGAGACTGCAAAACAGATAGATACTGAGAAAATAACTCAAATGTCATATTGAAGTTATATCATGGATTATCATTCATCTCCCAGCTGCTCACCCAGGTCAGGGTCTCAGAGGGCTGTGAGCCTATCCCAGACAGCAGGGGGCGCAAGGCTGGGGTCACCCTGAACAGGATGCTGGCCCATTGCAGGACACACACAGGCAATGGACAAGTTGGAGAGTCCAGAGTGGAGATGACAGCTGACCTCCCAACCATGGAGCTGCCCAGTGAGGCACCGTGCTGCCCTAACTATTACATCATATTATATTATATTATGTTAATGGGAGACCAAAGACACAATGTTGGAGCAACTAACTGTCAACATCGCTAAAGAAATCTTTGGTTAACTTGCCAGCGTCAAACCGCTAAAAGTGGTTTCATAATACGTTTCCATTGCATCACTTCCTGTGTCAAAAAGAGATATGCATGTGTTTTTAGGGAATTGTAAAAGAGCTAAGAAAGCACAGGAAAGATGCAGGCAAAGCCTCGTATGTGTGGGGATTCTCCCAGAGCAGATAACATCATCACTCATTCATAGTGATGGTTTCAAGTGCTATAAGTCAGATATCTCCAGTGTCAAAGATACAGCCCACTGGCCATTCTGCTGTATTGTGAATGCAGATTTAGATGAGCTAACAGTCAACGAGGCCACTGCATGGTTGTATACAGGATACAGTTGATGTGGTGATGTGGGGAAACTCACCACTGGACAAGCTGAATACTAACAGCACACAGACGTGTGACAGGTTCCCAGAAGGCTGTTGTTTCAGGTTTGTTTTGATGCTGAGATCTGATAAATCTATATGTGTGTATCTAAATATATACCGGGTAAGTATGAATAACATCCTGTCCAGTGTGAACCAGCCCTGTGCTGGGTGCTGACTTGGATAGGCTCCACCCATAACGATCCTGACCAGTATATGCAGCTGTAAAATGGATGGATGGATGGATGGATGGCTGGATGGATGGATATGTATAATGTAAAGACCGTGAACATTTCTCAGAGGAAAAAAATAAATATGCCACATATTCTGGACATGCAGCAGGGTAGATATCAATGTGAAATTTGGAGATCCTCTGCAAACTAAATTCTAATTTGTTTTATTTTTCGATTTAGTGCTGATTGTGTTCCAAGAATCTGAGAATCTATGACAGGTGGGAGCAGGAATATCAAATGATAATGCTAAAACTGTGCTTGAAAAAAGAAAATCAGTGAACCAGTAAATTGAAAGTCACTAATTAAAGTGAGTCAGTAATACCAGGAAGTTCAGGGTCCATGTCACATGCATAGAAGGCACAGAGACACACAAGCGGACACCATAACACTACGCGGAACAACTAGACGCACGACAGGAAGGCAGAGCCTAAGTTCCCTTGTAAAAGAAGATTCTGGAATAGAAATTAGTGAGGTCTACTTGGGACAGCAGGAAAACCAACCCTCCATTTACAGGCTTGGTTTCAAGAATCATACATATACTTCAAAGACCTGCTTCAGATGGTGTATTTTACATTCCCAATACTTCGCCAAACAGTTCATTATCATAAGAAAGCACAAACACAGAGTGACAATATATGAGGCCACTATATTTTTTTAAAAATCCTTAAAGGTCCCAGTTTTTATGCCCTTTTAATGAATGTTTTAATGAATATTGTATTTAAATACATACTTTAATTCCAGCAAAAAAGAAAACTCAAGCTCAAGTTCATGCCTCAGTGATGAGACACAGGAGATCAAAGCGCAGAAACGAGAATACAGAAGCTTAATTCTCCTTGATCGCCCCTCAGCAGGATAATATCCCAATAGACCTCGTTCACAGCAATAGCGAATAACAAGGGTAACAGGCTGCAAATCTTAAGGGCTTAAGGATGCTTTTATGTAGTAATGGATTGAGCCTTGTTGTGTCTAGGGGTGCATGTCAAACAGATAAACAGGCCCCCACAAACACAAAACACGCTCCATGAACCTACCTTGTGGGAACAGCGCTTCAATGCATGGTAGAAGACAAAAATATAGGAGTTAGCTTTACAGGGCTAGCATAGAGTTAGCTGTAGAGGGCTAGCACAGAGTTAGCTGTAGAGGGCTAGCATAGAGTTAGCTGTAGAGTGTTAGCATAGCGCTCCAGAGATCCAGATATGCCTTTATCCTCATAATGTCAACTTAAGACTAATAAAATATAACATTCTCAGAACAGAAACCAAACAGATATTATAATGTACTCATACAGAAAAGTATGAGTGACAGGAAAAAGAGTGTATGTTGTGGGAAGTCATTATTGGTTTTTTAAGTGAAAAACAAACATTAGAGAGAGAATAACTGAAAGTTCTGGCAAACTTCTTGAATATTTCAGCTATACTGAACTACATAGTTAAACCTTATTTATTCTCTGGAAATAATTCATTCAATATAAATCAATTGATTCAAAAATATATCAAGGTGATGTTCATCACCAGACGATTTCTTAGACTAGTAAACTTAGCTTGAATAATAAACTAGCTGTTAAGAATCAGAATTTCATCTTCTTGTGAGAGATCAAAGTGTGGCGTGGCTGGTAAGTTTGTGATCAGTAGGTATTGTATATAAATCAGTCAGGTCAAGCAGCTCTAGTTATACAGCAAATGCATTGGTTTCCATGCACTGGCTTTTACAAATACCATCATTAGAGACACCTATCCCCTTAATATATTGCACCAATTTATGTTTTCTGGAGTCACCAAATTTTAAGATGCTCCCAGATAACCAAATTACCACTCACATTCAGTGTTATCCCTTGAAATATCAAATAAAGAAACTGAACTCCATTCGCAAGACTTTTCACGTTTCATTATTAATATCAATATCAAACACTTGCCAATTGAATATACCTTAGATAAAGGCTTAAGGAAAGAACTGGAAAGCAATACAAACTAGAAACTGGAATAAATACTGTAGAAATTTAGAAACACAACTCCAGCCACTCAACAACACATTCTACACTATAACAATCCACATGCTGAATCAGTAAGGTAGACAGTTTGATGCTGAAGAATATCTTTTGTTGTGTATTTCTACAGTGCACGCACAGCCACTGATGAATCAAAATTAAATGCACCCAACTTCCATTTAAAGATCCAACTTGATGCATGCTTTGTGAGGTCAGCTGGTCTGATAATCCATCAAAAACGAGAACAGGACTGCAATTTAATCAAAAAACTGTACTTTTAAAGTATAATGGTACATGACAGTAACTACCAATTACCCAGTCTATTGCCGTTTACCAAACTTTGGATTTGAAGTCTGGACCTTTTCCTCGGTAACCAGTGGTACCTTTGTCCCCCCTAAATTATACTACTTCAAGGCAGTATTGTGCGGATGTCACAGCGTCAGCCCACTGAGCGCAAAGGCCGATCTTTTGTCTGCTCTCTCATCTGGTGCATCAGACATGTGCCAGAATATGAAGAATTTTTACCAAATTATCCCACAACAATGTTTTATGAAGAAGATAAGGAGAGCAGAATGAAAGTGTTGTCAAGAAAGGAGTAGGTGTCAGCAAGCTACAGCGTGTCTTATTCTGCTCATCCGCTGTAAAAACGTGACCCATGAAAATCAGAGGTGAACCAAAAGTATGAGTGTATGCAAAATGTCATGCATTTCAGGTGGGGGAGGTACAGCGGCATCTGAAGATAAATAAGAACTTTTAACAACGCAAACTTCACAATAGAGCATTGTTTTTTTTTTTTAAACGATAGCATAATAGCTTGGAACTCAAAGGGAATGTTAAAGAAACATCCAGTGATGGGGGGGGGCAGACGCTGCTATCTGACGTCCCTGTCAGATCTGCATTCCTCCAGTGAGGCAGCCACAGTCCCGCTGACTCTGTTTCCACAGGGAAGAAAAAGCGCTGTTGTTCGGCCTCTCATTTGCATTCGGATAACGAGTGGGCCGCCACGGGCATACATTCTGAAAGCTGCTCCGTCTGCTCTTGCAGGTTCTTGAAATAGTGACGTAAATGTTAAGCATGATGGACATAACTGCAAGTACAAATGTTAAAAAAATTAAAAAAAAAACTTCTTTTCTTACCATGGCAGCTTGGATATATGTTTTTACTACACAAAATGCCCAAAAAAACTGTTGCCATTTAGTTCTTTCATACAAACGAGAACACGCACAGGCTGAAGGTAATTTTAAAAGGATCTACTATTGCTCATCTCCAGTTAATGAGCAGCAGAGATTATCAGTGACTCCTAATTAAGTCAAAATCCTCAAGTTTTTTCCCCACCTACATAATAATATAAAAAGAATAAACTGATTCGGCTTTTGAGTTCATATAACAATCTTGTTTTAAAATGTTGTTACATTCGATAAGCTAATGACTGTGAAACTTTAAGTTTACATAGTCATGTAGACCTGTCGATACCAGCATTTGCAGCTTGGCAAATTTATGCAAATGGAGATGCCTGATCACCATCTCTTATTGACAGATGACTGGAGCGGAACAACGCCACAATTGAACTGACAAAAATATATATGTCAGAAGAAGATGCCTAGTGATCGCACTGATGTGAAGCTAACAGCTGCCTTTGTTAGATAAAGAGAATTTGAGGAAAGTAAAATTAGGGTTAGGGGTTCTGCTTTGATACTCCCACTGTGAGGAGACTGAACAGGGTGGGGTCTTTATGCACTCTGGTATTTTTGGTCTTGAAAAAACACTTGAGTGTCCCCATGAAGTGTGGTAACAGCAGAGGTGGATAGTTCAGGTCCAGAGAGTAAAAATCCAGACCAAGATTTAGTTTCAACCAACCTGTATAAAGAGTCACAGTCAGAGAGTACTCAACTGGCTGATTGAAACAAAATCTTTATCTGGAATTTTACTTTCTGGACCTGAACTATCTGAACTTCTGGATAACAGAGAGAAAACAGTACATTGCTGCACATAATAACAGCCTAAGACAAGTGTGTCTGCAAGTGCCCGGAAATCAAGCCCCCTAAAATAGCACCAAAAATCACCGCCTGACGTGTCTACCTGCAATATTTGTTTAGATGTCACTGTGGAGATGCTGATTTACTGCTATTCCATCTGAGATCTAGGACTGTGATTGTGGCCTGCGCAGATGACAAACATCGCATGCCAGAGTAGATAAACATAACGGCACCATAGTCTGTAGCTCACCTTCTCTACATCTGCCTTTGTCACGTTGATGTCGGAGTCCATCTTCTCGAAATATTGCTGCGCCCTGTCCGCCTCTTTGCATTCCCTCTCAAACCTCCGTTTGCTCTGGTGGGGGGGTGAAACACGAGATGAGAGTCAGACCTCTGTCGCTTACCACATCGAGCAGTGCCAAATTGGCTTAGCAAGTATAAACTTGGTTCTACATTGGGCCAAAAGGCTTCTCTTTCAGAGGGTGGCAGTTTTCAAGAGAAAATCAGACAAAAAAAGATAAAGCCAGCCATTTTATTGATCTCGATTACAGTCTACAGAGAGAGCAAAGTTAACTTTACAGTAATTCAAATTTCAAAAATTTGTCCTCCGACTGAAAATAGCGCAGTTACATACTTCCTATATGGGAGACTAATTTAGGTGTCAGTTCTCATTCTTTGGAACCCACATAAAAAACCCTCTGTCATGCTGCACTGGTAAGTGGCTGAAAGGTGAATAGCTGATAAAGACGGCATGATAGTACTGGGATTACTGGTGTCATTTTTAATTGTCTAATCATGTACGTTTTGTATTTCTTCCTGAGGAATTGGGGTGATCTAGTAATTAGGTCCTTTTGTGGTGGTGCTGGTGGAATTTCTGGAGTTTTTGATCCAGCAAAGTTCTTGTAAAAAATGACTTCTCTAACCTCTACAGAAGACTGTATGAGGCAATTGTCCTCTTCCTCAGTGTCAACAGGGTTTCTATCAAGGATTCAAAACTAAGCCCTGAAAATGAATTAACTCACCCCCTGCTAGAGTATGGGTAGGTCCACATTTTTGGACACTGGTACATAAAAACCTTGTTTATTCTGCGTCAGTGTACTTAGTCACACAGCCAAGATTCCCTACCCTTCAGTGAAACAATGAATTCAATGTCTTAAACACTGAAACTGTAAAAAGGCGGTAATGGGTCTTTCATTCTCTTGGGGATATACTCCTCCACATGCCGCTTTAACCACTCCTTCCATTCCATTCCGACAGATGCTGCCCCGAAACTAGAGGGATGCATACGAGGTTCTGCTCCAACTTCCTGTTCAGCTGATCTATCTACCTCTTCCTTATAACTTCACCTCTGGTTACTCCAGGGAACAGAATATCCTGCGAATGCTGCCTCCCGCCTGCCCCACACTCTGCCTCTTATTAGTGTCTCTCAGCCAGGATATAATTCACTCTCAGTCGGTCAATAATGACTTTGGGAGGTTTGGCCTTGCTCATAAGCCCCTGATGCCCTACAATGTTGACAAGATTGTACAGGAAAACTTAACACTTGAGTTAACAGGGCCAATGTCAGACTGAGGTAATGAGTTCCCCATCAGAGGCAGCTAGGTACACCCACATATTATTATGGACTTTCCAGTTACAAAGACCCCTTTTGTTCTATGTAAATGATCGAGTCGAGGTTCTCGGTGCTTCGACGCCCACTGCTGTGAATCTGATTATAGAGGTTAAGCATAAAAAAATTGAAATAACTTAATTTGATTCACTCTCTGTAGTTGACTGCATCTGTTTACAGCATGTTTATTATTATTGTTATTATTGTTTTTAGATTATATTTAAATAGACACTATAAACACTGATCCAACAATACAATATGTATGTTATTTTAAAACTTTAAGGTGCAGTATCCTTTGAAGAAACTGGCCGAATAAATGCAGGAATGCAGCTCGATTATATCCAGACCTTGCAATTTGTATTTATAAACTAAACTGGCAGCTGTATGAACCACTGCTCTCCTTCTATTTTGATTCCCAATGAAACTTTCAAATATTAAAAAAAACAAAGCACTCACTGATTCCAGCTGTTTCCAGGAGTTCTCAATATGTTGCTGAGCCTTGCGTCCATCATGGAAATGCTAGAAGAAAACAAATCTTCAATTACTTGGAAATTTTTCTCACTTGGCATAAAATGAATCAAAATCAGCCTTCTCAAAGCGGATTTTAAAAGTGAATGAAGGAAAGAATGGAAAATTTAGTTCATCAGACAATTTCTGTTCACTGGGTCTAGGTCTAGTCTGGCCACCCCATTGTACAAGGTCTGGCTCCAGCCCTGCACAGGGCATTGCAGGCTGACATGGAGCTGACATGGAGCAGGCTGTCTCTCACAACTGCCACCACCTGAACGCTTCCACTAAAGGAAACTGCCTGTCACTGCCTGGATTGCTATGTGAATCGGGAGAACATTTTAGGAGTAATATCAGTTTTTCTTTCTTTTTTAATCTCAGGTACCACCTGTGGAATTCACCTGCACAACAAACATCATGCTCACATACAGATATCAGTTTGCTGAGGAGAGACGGGCACTAGGACAGGATGAAGGTGGGGGCACAGACAGACAGCTGTTTGCTGAAGAGACATGGGCACTAGGACAGGATGAGGGTGGGGGCACAGACAGACAGCTGTTTGCTGAAGAGACACGGGCAGTATAACAGGATGAAGGTGGGGGCACAGACAGACAGCTGTTTGCTGAAGAGACATGGGCACTATAACAGGATGAAGGTGGGGGCACAGACAGACAGCTGGTTGCTGTGGAGAGACGGGCACTATAACAGGAAACTTTCAGTCCCAGTCCCTCTCCCAAAAATAGTTCATTGTGGATTTGTTCTTTAGTCAAAAGGTCGATTCTTCTTTTCATCCCAACAGCCGGGATAAGCGATCACAAGTTGGATGGATAGATTTTACATATTTAAAAAAATCATCTGACGTGACAGATCCTGCAAAACTCTTTTCAGTCAGACGTACAATGCATGTCCAGGGAGGAAAAGGCAGGCCTGAAATTCAATGGAGAGACCCTGACCTGTGAATACTGCTGACAGAGGTAGAGTCAACAACAAGTCACATGATCTGGCACTCTGTTTTTAACTTAACACACTGAGCAGGTGGAAAGAAACATATAGTGTGAAAAAAGACACACAGTACAAACAAGCAAGCACAGTGTAAACTGATTTTTAAAAGTACACTGTACTCAAAGATAGAATACTGATACAGTTAGGAAATAAACGTGAAAATTAATAGATGAATTTATATGAATGTTCCAGCTACATAACCTTAAAACATTGATATGATCATTTAATCATCATTTTATTTAAAATGAGCATCCATGTGAAAAAGTTTTAGGCAAAATGCTGGTTTTATAATTTCATTTGGTTATAAGGTTTTATAGTATTATAAGATGTATTTTAATTTGGATAACTAGAAGGCATGCCTGCTTATTACAGACACCACTCCGATGCGGCAAAACCAACATACTGTCTAGTCTGCTCAAATAAGCGGATCAGTCAGAATGCTATTTTAGACATTAACGTAAAATAAACCATACGACCATACGCCTAAATCAGTAAGAAAGACTTACACAGATGTGCAAGTGTAGAAAAACAGAAGTTGGTATGTACACCGTCATTTTTAGTTTGGGTCATATATTTAGGTCTTTACATATTACAGAAGGTATTTCTGATATTGTTACTCCAGAGTTGTGACTGCAGGGGGTATTGAACTTTCTAGTACTGTCTGCCAAATGTGTCTGTTATGGTTGCGAAGGGAATTCAGAAGTACTTTAAAGGGTACGACGAGAAATTCTGAAGCCAGTTAATTAGGCCAACTGCCTAGTTTGATTCACCGCTTCATGACACGGGAACAAATGACATCATTAGTATGCTGAAACATGCTCATCGTGAAAATGCATATCACCATGGCTATCTCACTCTGCATACTGTCACTCTGCACAAGTTCTCATTCTGCATGCTCTCACTCGGCACTTTCTCACTCCGTGTGCTCTCACTCTGTGTGCTCTGACTTGGCACCCTCTCACTCTGCATGCTCTCATTCTGCACCCACTCACTCTGCACGTTCTCACTCCATGTGCTGTCACTCAGTGGGCTCTGACTCTGCGCACTCTACGTCAGCAGGTTCTCACTCTGCATGCTCTCACTTGGCACCCTCTCACTCTGCACGCTCTCACTATGTCCTTCATCTTTAACATATAGTTCCTGAACACTGGGTCTCCAATTGGCGCTGATCCCACAACACAATGTTCAAACAGCTAACCTGCCCATCCCACCTCTCGCCCAAAAGCCCCTCCCAGATGCAGGATCTGTCAAAAGGATGGTTATGGCAAATGCACATAAAATAAGTATGCATTTGCGCTTTTACAAACAATCGATTGCCGCACGTATCGTTCTTAAAGGTGAATGCGTACTTCCGTACCAGTTATGTGCAGCCCTGACTATAGTGTATATACTGTATGCAGGCAGTCCCCAGGTGAAGAACGTCTTACTTACAGACAGCTCATATTTATGAACACACTGCCATAAAGTCTATCATATAAAACATTCAGGCTAAATACAATGGTTCGTAATAAGGAGCACATGCACTATTTTGTGATGCTTGTTGAAACATTAGCTGGCTTCAGTGGTTTGTCGCCTCAGGGTATAACACATTGCTGTATGTAATAAGTCTATTACTGTCACTCTATTATTTTAATTTTTTTTAACTTACAAATATGACTTAAAGACAGATTTGTAAATATATGTATGTCTATAATATCAAGTCTATATATAAATAGGTTTTCAAAGAGCAAAGTGGGAATTGGAGCCAATGGACGTACAGATATTACACAGGCCTTCGGATTTCTGATTTCATCACATGAGAAAAACTGACAAGCACTTGTATAGTTGCAGTCTGAGCTTATAACAAACAGGAAATTGCAGCTATGGCTAAATTTAACTGACCCTAAATGAAAATAAAAGATTACCTAAAACCCCCCTCAGCTTATCAGAAGTGTGGCCTGGACGGGGCAGAGTGTGGGACTTTATGTCCCATTCCCCACTTGGAGTCACTATGTGGTGACTTTTTCCATTCATGGTTCTAATTGGCTGGGACCCCGGCAAAACATCTGTGTGAGGGGGGACAAGAATGTCCTTTTCCAGTCAGCTCACAATATGCTGGGTGATACGTGCCCCCAAACAGGTCAATGCTAAAAAACTTGAGAGGGATTAATGTTCATTGACTCTATTTCAATACTAATATCATACAGAAAGAAAAAAAAAAACATTTATTAAATCTTGTGGGTGCAAAGCTAGCAGGATATGTAAAATTTCCCTATGAGTAATACGGCTGACAACATACATAAGGTGCTACAAAGAAGGTGCGCTTTCTTTTTCACACGACTGAATAGTTCACACAATTCATAAGGTAAATGATGAGGATCCCTAAAATAAAGAGCTATTTTATGAAATATCCGAGCCACGGCTGGTCTTGAAATGGTTGCAGGTAAGGAAATTTTTTTTATTTATTTTATCGTAAATGGGGAACCTGATCTAGTCATACATAATGTCCTATTGCTTTTCAGCTGTACCAATCAAGCCAAGTTTACTTTAACAGCTTTTGCTTTCCACTCTCTTTTCCAAGCAGATGTGTTTTTCGGGTACGTGAAAATTTTTGCAGGTGCAACAAAATTCCAGGTGTAATAATGAAGAAGAGATCAGAATGACCTAATTTCACTGCTTTGAGAGCTAATAATAACAAAATACTAAGTACAAGTGTGACCCATAATTATTTAAAATTCTAACTATAATTAGACATATTTAAACTGCTGAAAGCAATAAACTGAGACAGTGTTCAGTTACATTACACAAGGTACACTGTCCAAAGATATTAGGTGACAACCACTAATAACTCTACATTATATATAATATGTTATGTACTATAAATTTTTTTGTTGGAAGGATTTTGTTTATTGAAAATTTCAGTGAAAGATAATTTCACCAATTTATCCAGTTGGTTGTTAGTGAGGGAGGAGCATCACTAGTGTTCAGTTACGAGCATCAACCCTCAAACACTGAGGCCTGTGACAAAAAAACATGACGCCCAAACGTTTTATCTTGTGTTTATGAAAGTTTCTAAGATTTGAAACCTCTGATGCCCACTCTCTGCTTTGAATCGCTGGACTTTGATGAGAAAAGCTCCGAAATCTCGGCATTATCTGCGGCATCACTACTTTTCCTAGACATCATCTGTCAAAAAAACAGCAACGTGATTGTGAAATGTAATGTGTTGTTAAGCATAAATGTAGTAGAGCAGGAAGTATACATACTTGCAGTAAGATGTGGAGAGTAAAAGTCAAAAGTGTCCATGGCTAAATCTACTTAAGTGTAGATATGTGAAAAATCTACTTAAGTATAGTAATGAAGCAATTGTACTTTGTTACTTTCCACCATTGCCTGCTGCTTCCATCGGCATTAGAAGTGGCTTGATTTTAATTTACGTTTCTCCGCCATACCTGGACCAACCAACACCCGAAACACTGACCACATCAGGGGACTCTTCTGCACGAGAGAGCCGGTGTAGAAGAACACAAACCCAACAGAATGCTTGTGCAACACTATTTGTGTAACAAGCTTCTGTAAATCCTGGCTTTCGTCATTTCAAGTGTGGACATCAGAAAACAGGCAATGAGAGTCCCGCTTGCCGTCTTTCAGGTTCCCTGACACCATCTGAACCCTTACAAACAGGCCTTCCTGTCCGGAACTTCTTGTAGCACTAGACATAGAACAGCAGAAAGGTCACCTGTAACGTTTGCTTAACACCCTAAGTGGCAAGACAATACTGGGCCATTTTTAAGGCATACATAGCAACTGGAATTCATAGTTAATTAAAAGCTTTGTTGAAATTTTATTAAATAAACGTTCATTGGCCACGTCTAACTATTATATTGCGATGATTGTGCAATATCCTGGGGTGCAATATTTCTTATCTTATGCTGCTGTTTATAGGTAATGGCAGTTTTTTGGCAATTTGCATTTTTTCTGACCCTTGACCTAAATTTCTGATGAAAATAACTGTGATATATTTGTAGTTATATTCACAAATTCACACAAATCAAGGTATTAATATGAAGTTGGGTATACTTCAGTATAAGCTTGTGTGGCCAAACACTTTACGACTGACGGTGTTTTCACTTCACAGTCGTTTTACTGCCAGCTGACCAGGGCAGGAATGTGCAGAACTGACTTGTTGGGAGAATGGTGTCCTATGATGGTGCCAAGATGGTCTCCTATGATGGTGCCAAGATGGTCTCCTATGATGGTGCCAAGTAGAATCACTAACCTCTGCTCTGCCCATTATGCTGCCAGTGATTGTTACTGGAGATTAGATGGGTGTGTGCTTAATTATATATCTGTGTCAGCAATGGGCAATCATTAATTATCCAATTCCTCTAATTAATAGGGGTATTCACATATTTTTGGCCATGTAGTGTCTCTTATGTGACATGAATCCTGCCGAGGCTGGTGGCATGAAGAAAATCAAATTCATAGCTACACATTTAAAGAAAACAGCCCTGAACCTTATATGTAAATAACACCACAAAGACAAAGGCTGCCTGAATGAACGCATACTCACTATAGTTTCCTCACATGCATAAAGTACTTTCCTGCTCTTTCCCCAGAGACCCTGACTCCGCCCAAGAGAGAGGGACCTGACCCAGTCAGCGCAGTGATGTCAGTCTTGCATTAACTCCAGTCACAACGTCCTTCTCTGAGCATTTACATTAATATGCATGCCAGATAAATTAAGGAGGAGGAAGCTTACTAGATACACCCAATGACCTGGATCGCTAACTGTAATCTTATTTTCCTTTTGGATTAACTGGCCAACAGCAGCAACTGCTTTCTCATTAGCAATTACACACATAAAATAATACTGGTAACAGCCATGAGAGAGAGCGGTAAGGAGTATGAACTGATTACAGCGTGTTGCTGCACCCACCACATGACAAACCAGCTCAGGGATGAGAACCTGAGTGCAGCGTGCAGTAGGTGACACCTCAGCACCACCTAAGTCCAAATGGACCAGTGTGAGTTTGTTCCTGAGGCTGGAGTGCCAATCCCGTATGGCAACGCTAAAAATAATCCTTGTGGAGAATAAATAAAAGTTTATTCTTTCAGATTTATTGGTGTTTTTTGAGCTTCCGGCTTCATTTAAATAGATGCTAAAAAAAAAAACAATCAGCGGCAAATTCCTTAGGATACGTACATGTATACGTTCCTTAGGCGTTTTACACGATGTGTGCTTGCACAAGGGAAATAAACCCCGAACAAATCTGTACTGAATTCATGTTCATTCAACTGTGTTGGTCAATTTATTTCAGGTTGTAGCAACAAGCAGGCACTTTAATACTGAACGTGTATTAGAATCACTAATCCGTCTATCAGACAAGAAACAAAACTGTTTTATTTTTCAAGAAGACAACCAGGACATATCCTGTCAGATGCTATACGAGGGGATGTGTATCAAAGTGACGCTCATAAACCGAAACAGGGGGCCGAAAGTAGAGGAGGCAGGAAGCGGCAATCTTACCGACTTCCTCTCTGCCTTCAGCTCTTGGATGTAGCGCGTCAGCTCAGAGATGATCTGCGATGTCAGGTTCTCGGCTATAACTTCATGTTGTCCTGCATAGTCGTTCAGCTCATTCAGAGTTGACAGGAAAGCCCGACATGCTGAGTACTTGCTGGAGAAAAGAACCAATATTGAAATTTCAGCATAGAACAAACTATAAACCTGTGGTTAGTTTTGACCAAAGCAGTTGCTTAAAATCAACAACAGAACCTAGAAGTTCATGCTTAAGAACGTTTTGCTTCTCATCAGAAGTGGCCTGATAAACACCATGTGTCGTCTTTTAATAACATACTTGTTTTCTTCCTCCTCTTTGGAATTCTTCTTAGGCTGATATTTTTTTGACAGATTCCTGCAAAAAAAAAAAAAAGCTTTGTTATTGCTTAGTTAAGGTTTTGGGAAGGAGGCTGCAGGGTCAAAGGTCAAATTCCCTGAGAACCTCCTGAATCTTGATCAGAAAGGAAAAGACTGAGATATGTAAAATGACATTGAGAAAAGGCCAGAAGGGTCTGGATTTTATTTGAAAAACAACATGGTTTTAAATCAAACAAATTTCACTAAAAACTAAACAGCAAGTTGTAATAAATATTTTAGACATGTATGCTAACAACAGATGTTGCTAATTTTGTATCAAAACAACTGTGTATGATCTGTTAAACTTGAAACAATACACCCGTTACTCTGTTTTGCAAATTATGAGTCATACACATAAATCCAAAGCGAAGCTAATTTCTTGCGATAAAAATAGCTGAATAAGATGAACAAGAATGAACTGTAATTGTGCCAAATTCTACATCAGCATTCTCTAGTCCATCAGGCCAAATGCTGAGGGCTCTAATGAACTAAATCATTATCTCTCACCTCTGGTCAATTTGGTTAAATGTTAATCCACTAAATTTTTGTAAATTTTTAATTATTATAGTTATTAGTGTGTTTACTTGGGGGTGATAATTAATGCAGGTGAAAGGAACGTCATGACACTTAATTCCAGAGAGAGCAGTGTGGACGCAACTTCAACACCGCTATTAAAGTGGGAATCGGTGCTTTTGTAAATACGCTGTATCGTTTTGCTGTGCAGCTGGCTATTGTAGCAATTTCATCTTTTTTCTAGCAGGTGAAAGCAAACTGAGAGCAGGCCAGGTGGAGCAGTGCACAGGCACGCTAGGCTGTCGACCTCATTTTTTTTTTAACATCCCTCAAGACACAACTGATGATGTTCTCCTCAGCCCAGCTACAGGCTGGCTGCTGGCAGAGTGGAGTTTACCCAGCAACCGGTAACAAGCCAGCCAATTACGTTCAACCATTCCGCTGATGGATCACGCTGTAACAAAGCATGGCAGCAGATTACAGATTACAGAGTGAACAGCTAACCTTCGCCTCACGGTTAGTAAACACATTTAGGAATCCTATTTTGGACAGTGTACTCCCCTCGTCATACGTTTTGTCACAGCACACAATGGCAAAATGCACCGCAAACAATGCAATTTGCTGTAATATTTTCAGAGCACTTCATGTTATGCTTGAATGTGTTACTGGCTGCTTCTCCTGGTTGCAGATTATTAAAATGCTCCTCCATTAAATATCCCTGCCCTCTCTTCTGTCGCTAGGCAGATTTCCCTGTTGCAATTTTTTTTAATCGTACAGCTACCTATCACTGCAGTGCATAACACATAGACATTCTACCCTGTGCACATGGCAGTGGATGCTTTTAGAATATTCTAAATAAATTACATATAACAAGTGTGATGTTGTGATCTAATGATGTTGGTCATAATGACATTTAATTTGATACCAATATGAACATGAACAAGGGGCATGGTGACCCACTGCTCCAGGGTCAGAGGTTCAAATCCCGCCTCTGCAGTCTTCTCCTAATATCATGTATGTTTCCTCCTGTAGCCCAAACATCCACAATTAGGTCATCTGGAGTCCCTGAACAGTTCATGGTGCATGACTGAGCGTGTGTGTGTTTTATGATGGGGTGGTGTTCTGTCTCGGGCGTTTCCCTGCCTTGTGCCCTGTGCTTCCTGTGATAGTCTCCACTGCACCCCTGATCAGGAAAACCAGGCTGCATGTTTGTGCATGAAGATAGAGAAGCACTAGAACAGCATAATAGTGCGATAAATAATCAGTGCGACCAAAATGCATGGGAATAGAAGCACAAAGGACGTCACAGGAATGACTATATTTAAAATCCATAAAGGTTTCTGATTTAAGGTCAGTGATGGCATGACACTTGGCCTTAAAAGTGCTAAATAATGTCAGTTAGTGTTATTCATACATAACCCAAAATGTACACATTGTATAACTGTACCAGCAAATCTTAGCACTTCACAAGGGAGCCAGTCTGCAGTTATCACCACCACAGAATCTTATCATCTCATTTACCATGTCATACAAAATATAAACTCTTAAAAAAAAAACAATTTACACACATTTCTTGAAAGTAACGATAAGAACAAAAGCACATTCTGATTGTGGTCATCCTCTATGGCGCAATGGCTGCAATTCTTCCTTTGTTAGGTGACCTGATTCCAGGCTGAACTGGTTTAACGGAGAAGGTTAACCGTGGTGTAGCTGTGAAAATGCTGTAAAGTCTCCCAGCTGAAGTGAGGACGAGGCCATTAGCTATTGACCGGGTGACTCCGCTGAAACATTGCAGGGCCAGAGATAAAAAATTAACAACCACAACAATAGTATCGACATTTCCTTTTAACTCTTTTCCGTTCAGCTGTAGCTGTTTTTTCCAAACCTTTCCAAAGAATGGCAGCTTAACCCACTCCAGGCAACAGAGTCCAATGTTTTAATAATGCATAAATTAGAATGATGACTGTATATTCAACATTCAGCACCAGCGTCACCCTCCTTGAGGCAAGAAATGACAATAATATTATCAACTACTTTATTAACTGTAAAGTGAACTGTTTGAGGAAAAGGTGAGTTTTGCTGAAAAAATAAATACTGGGGTAATGTTTCATGTATACCAATACATGTAACCAAGTCTGTTACTAAAATAAGACACAACTTACCTAATTTGCTTTGCATAGCTGAGCTCGATCTCCGATCTCTCCTTCACAAATTTGGTGTATCTTTCGACAAACTCGATTCCCCATTGTGTGTGCTTTTCCAAGTTGTCAAACTGATCCTGCACAGCAGAAGAGTCGCAAAAAAGGAGATTCATAAATGTTGTGAACTGGAAAACGAGCTTCTTAGCCACTGACATCATGTAATGATGTTTTTTTTGTAGAAATGAAGACAAAGTATTTCCCTTTGTTTTGGTTTCACGTTGCACATAACATAGTGCTTTTTATGTCATAAGTATCCTGCATTGAGCCATTCCTGATGGAAACTATAGCAGAATTTTAAATTATTAACTACAAAACAGTGTAAAATATTCATATCGGTTTGCTGATTTTCATTGTTTTCCTAACAAAGAGTCAAAAATTCAAATGAGAAACAGGTGTTCCATCTGCACAATTTCAAGCTAATTAATATTGATCACATTTTAAAGATAGATGCTTCAAATAAAAAATAAAACCAAAAAAATTAAAATCCTCATTTCATACTTAGCAACATGCATAACTAACTGGTAACACTTAAGCTTTCGCACATCCAACATCTTGCTCCTTTACCATACATTTTTCGTACGTTGTTACCAAGAGAATTTATATATTACGTTAACACAATGCGGTCCGCTTGATCTTTGATCAGGCATCTCAGTGTACGATGCTTATCACTAAAAAGATTATCTTTATTTACTAAAATGCAGATCTTTCACTAAAATAATATATAAAAGCTTCTCGGCCAGCTTCTCGGATGCTTCTCAGCACCACTTCCTGAATAACTTCAGTAGGATAAAGACAAGCTCCACGCTACAGTGCAGCACGGAGGATGCGATGTATAAAAGTCACCTTCGTCCGGCTCCAGCAGTCTCCCATTCTCTCCTCTACCATCTCCTGTCTAAATACTACCATCCAGCATCTTGGAACTTCAACGCTTCACTGCTGGACCTAAAATACAACTTATCATGCTCAAGAAAACTAACCCAAAAGCAAACAGGAAGTGAGTTTTGTGTCAGCCTCTAATCAAATGCACAGTGCAGGGACTTCACTTATGACACGCACCACCTTTCAGTGCAGCTGTAGCGTGATTCTCCCAATAACTGAAAGTATATATTACTGAATTACATAACACTGGGTGTGTTACAAACAACCATAGTATGAAACAGTGATGCAGGAAAAAGCTATAACATATATTTGCAGTTACATTTACTAAAACTTTATCCATCCATAAAGCCATCCATCCGTCATCTTCAATTGTATGCACAGGAAAGATGACACATAAATTTCTTCATAGTTTGTGATGTGTGCCTTACAAAAAAAAAATGTAAAATGCGCAAATGCAAGAAGAATTAGTATTCGTACTCTGTAGGCAGAAAGATGTGAAGGCAGAACACGCTTTCAGGGTGCTCTCTCTTCCTGGCTTAGTGCAGCACTGCTCTCTCTGTGGTCGACTGGCTGACTATTCTCCATTCCGCTGAAGCACCCTACAGAAGAGCCCTTTTTTTCACTTTCCGGCGTGGGTGAGTCTGGCCAGACCAGTTCTGTTATTCTCCCATGTGCCCCTGTAGTGGTCGTCAGAGATACGCTTAGGGTTGTCGACTGAGCTGCTGGACCCAGTGAACCATCTCCTTTATGTTTCTTGTACTGGCTGCACCCTGACCCAGCAGGGCGCAGTGCTAACCTTAACTGAGGTCACATGTCACTTTGAGATTTGACCTCATCTAATTTAACAAACATGCTGAACGTCACTTGAAGCAGCAGACATAAGACTGCATACTTATTAATAGGTATTCATTTTACACTTCTTTATTTAATGCATAGATATTTAAACTTAAATATACTTGGATTTCCTTCCCATTCTGCGTGTTGTACATAAAGTCGTAACATTTGTCATACAACATAAAGGGAAATAAGCTTTTCTTTTTCAAGGCAGAAAAGTTATTAAGATACTTAAATATGGATTTATAGCACCATACAACTTGGGAGGCAGAGACTACTTGACAGCAAAAATGAGGACACTGTGAATAATGACATAGTCATCTTATTTTGCAGAATAACCTAAACCTCTCATGAAAATAAAGTCAGTAAAATTTCAGGGCTGCACTGATCACTGTAGCAAAACAACTTTATGACTTTTTGGAGAAAACTTTTGGGTTGTTTGGATTTCTGCATGCCACAAGACAGAGGTCAAAGAAACGTGACCTTCAAATTTTGCAAAGGTCAGCTTGTGTCACATTTCCCATCGCCTCCCTCCTGCATCACAGTGCATTATTTTTAGTCTGTAAAAGCTGGGTGAGGAAAATAGCCTTCGGATGATTTTGCAACCCAGCCAGCATCTCCTGAATTTGCCAGAAACACAGCAAAAGTCTGTCCAGGGATGAATTTTAAAAATACTTTTCAAGTGATCGCTCTAAATCATAAGTGATAGTTATATATTCCTCATATTGGTTAAGTGCAGTGATTTTCCACAATACTTTAAAAAAATTAAAAATTATTCTATTGTTATGTAATAACTGACACATACTACAAAAATGATCTTTGACTGAAGAAATATTTCCCCCTCTGACGGCAGCAGAAAGGGGTTTTCTGCCTGGAAATGTCACCATGACTAAACAGCCTTCAGTCTTGCAAGTACTAGGGAGTAATCTGATTTAATTATACTCTGGTGCTGGCTGGGCTGATGAAGTCTGTCTTTATAAGCAGTGCCATATACTGTGAAGTAAAATCTTTAGGGGAAAAAAAAGGTACTGTTGTTGTTTAATCCTGGTAGAGGACAATGGAAGATATTACTAAAGCCGCAAACAATTAATTTAGCAAAAACTTTCCACATAAGACACGATGGGAACTTCCAGTCAGCTAGCCTTCATCGTGGCTGAAACATTGTAACCAAAAATACATGCTGTAACCAAATTGTACCCATAATGCATGCTGGCACGCTAAAACTCCGCCCCTCTCTCCATCACATCTTCCATTTACTCAGAGCAGGGTCACACTAGGCCTGAGGCCTATCAGTGGACTCACAGAGTATGAGGCTGTGCAATTTCATCCATATATACAATATGTTTTCCCTATCAATTTTTTCCATCTATATCAATGCAGAATTAATATTGAAAAATGTGTGTGTAAAGAGTATTCATTGTTAATTACAACTAACTCCATTTTCGCTGGGTCAAACTGCTTTATCCGATTAAGAATCAAGTACACGAAAAATATTTTTTTTCCTGCAGTTTTGTGATAAACACACGCTACCAAAAAGACAGCGCACATCACACTGTATGTCCACTGCACACACAGCTATCCATCCATCCATCCATCCATCCATTTTCTGAAACCAGCTAAACCCTAGCAAGGTAAACATGCTGTGCATAAACTGGTCACTATTTAAGTTCCTCTTTCAAACGGCGACATTGGCAAAATTTCTGTTGGTCATCATTTACAATATTTTCTGCTTCTGTTCCAACTGTGGAAGATAAAAGGTATAAAGGACACTTTATTTATGTCTTGAGTAGTTTTTGCATTTGTGTCTTGAGTTGTAAACACAGGATAACACATGCTTTCTCATCCTGGCCCTGCATTGGACTGTAATGCTTTCTGGCCGCTATCTCTACCCTGTGACATAGAAACTGACGTTTTATGAAAACATGTGATCCAAATATCAGAAATTACAGGCTGTACACCACTGTTTTAGGATCATTTTTAACAAAAAACCTATACACTGCTTGTAAACTGAAATGCAAAATAGGCTCTATAAACATAATCATTCATTCACATTTTCAGAGGCAAAAAGAGGTACGGATATCCCAGTCTGGGTATGGAATCAGGGAACTTCCATATGGATACTGTTACCCCAATGAAAAACAGGCCTTTCCCAGTGTAGAGGATTTCAGTGAACGAAGGGTGACTTTAGGGGAGAGAATGAGGGAAGTAGATAAACCACAGATGGTGGCAGAAGAAACCAAAATGTTTCTTTAAAGTATATTGTCTTAGGCACAGTGAAAGTTACGATATCTCACACCGCTAAGCTATTAGAAACAATGAGGAGGCAACTTATTTCTACAAAATTTCTGAAAAAAGGGATCCTCCTCTTTCGAATTTACATAAAACAAAGCAACAAGTAGACTGGACACTGACAAGCCACAAGGGTTTCCTCCTGAAACTCCGTGCTTCTTATATCCATCCCACTGTAGGCGTACTGCCATTAAGAAAAATATTTGTGAGAAATACTGATCCCCCATCTCCCCACAAAACACACAGTGCCTTTGTCTGTCGGTGGACCAGAACAATATGGGTTCAGAGACAACTTAACCCCGCTGGGGCCAGGGCTTCCCAGAAAGGACGGCAGGACAAAGAACCCAGCAGGCTGCGAATTCACCACAAACATCTGCCTTTTTGCGCAAGCAGCCTGCATGCATTCAAGTGCTGCCATTAAACAGAGCTTTTTACGCTGGACCCCACTCACTGACCATGGAATTATTCTACATGGATAATTCTTATGGATTCCAAACAATGTCCGTTTTGTCGGCCAAAGTCTATTCAGTCCATGCATCCCATTGTGACAATATTACTACTGTCATATCTCTCTTGATTTCTAAACACGAATAAATACATAGCTATGCATGCTTAGATTTCATGGGTATAACATAAAATGGGGGGGCAGCATGGTGCTGCGGTGGTTAGCGCTGTCACCTCCCAGCTCCCAGAGTCTCCGCCATGGAGACCCATCCTGGGTTGTTCCCTGCCTTGTGCCCTGTGAGGGATTGGTACCCCATCCTGGGTTGTTCCCTGCCTTGTGTCCTGTGAGGGATTGGTACCCCATCCTGGGTTGTTCCCTGCCTTGTGCATGTAGCCTCTAGGATAAGCTCGACACCCCGTGACCCTGCACAGGACAAGTAGATACCTTCATAATGCATTATAATGGTCAGTATAAGAATTAATAAAGCATTACAGCATCTTCTAATGACAATCATAAGGCATTATACTGTTGATTATAGTACTTGATAAGCTGCAATGAAGCTGTCATCTATAATGCCATATAGAATCTTCATGATGCATTATAATGTTCATATGAATTAAACACAGCAAT